TTGCCAATATTTTTTTCTCCAGACTAAATAATGCTATTTCTTTCAGACTTTTCTCATAAGGCACATTTCCTAGGCCTCTAATCATTTTTGTCACTTTACAGTAGAGTCCTTTTAATTTATCCATTTTTTTTTGAACCATGGGGTCAAAAGTAGAGGTGGTACTTCAAGTGAGGCTTCACAGATGCTGTATAGAGAGGAAGAGTCACTTGCCTTGATTTGCAAGTGACACTTCTGTTGTTTCATATTCAGTTTATGGTTCACTATAGGCCTGTGTGAAGCAGCAAGTATTCAATTCAGATTTGGTTGATTTTGGAGGGACAGTGATTCAATTTGGTAATTCAAATCACTATCCAATTCGATTTGGCCGAATCAGATCCGAGGATTCAGCGCCACTTCAGAGATTTGGCCATAAACTAAACAGTCATCAGTCCCCAATGCTGGATGTAGCTGCCTCCAGCTGGTAATTCTGTTGTGGTGGGCAGAGGGGGAAGGGAAGGGGCATGGAGGGGGGTGCAGATCAATGCCCCTACAGTGATGGAGGGGCGTTGATGTGCTCTGGGCCGCAGCTTGGGCTAGTGCCTTGAGCGCAGCCCTGGCTCCACCCATGGAGTGCAGCTGGGAGGCAGGCGACTGGCCTTGGCTCCACCTGCCCTGCAGACCACAGACCAGCAGCGAGGGCTTGCCACCTGGAGTGCAGCCTTGGCTGGGGAGGGGGTGGGGTGGCTCTCACCTCTGTGCACCACCAGTCTGGGAGCTGCTCATGTGGTGGCTTGTCCAGTGGCTGCTCCCACTGTCTTTCTGGGAGGGCGTGGGATGGGGGCATGTGCTCCAGGATCTGTGCGGGACAGGCAGGGCCAGGGCTGCACCGGACAAAAGGCACTGGGATCGGGGGCTATGCCCCCCCACTGTTAGCCCAGCCAGCATGGGGCCAGCACAAGGCTGAGCCCCTATGCTGCCTCCAGACAAACTGTGCACAGTGGCGGGAGCTTGCCCAGCCTCCTGGCACCTCATGGACAAGCAGTGGCTTCACCCCGCTGGGCGAGCAGCAGCAGCAGCAGCAGCAGGGCATGGGGGGGGCATGTTCCACCCAAAGACTCACTGCAGCCCCCCCATAGGCCCCGCTCTGCAGTCAGGCAGAAGGCAAGGTAGGTTTGCACCTTACACACTAATTCAGATGGGCATAAACTTTTGTAAACAATAGCTTACTTCCTCATATGTTATGACTGGAGCTGCAGTGATCAGGGTTTCTAAATAGAAAGCAGCAATTTAAATACAAAGGGTAGAGAAGGGAGAGAAAAGGAGAGGGGCACTACTGAGAGAAGCAAAGGTGGTAAACAGAATAGTAAAACCATGGGGACTCAGAGGTTATAAAAGTTGGTCCAGGTATTGGGATAAGAATCCATAGACTTGATTTAGGCTATACTTACCCCAGTCCAGGCTGTAGATGATGTCTTATTCCACGATTGTGTGTTCAAGTCAGTTTTTAAAGTTTCATTCTTTAAGAACGGTATTTGTTTGCGGACAGGGGGGAAGAATGTGATAGAAACAGAAGCAGTGTCATAGTCCAGGATAATGTTCTTTCTTTATGGAGTTATATATATATGCCACTCTCCCCTGCCTTCTGTAGCTTGTTAGCATGCTTTTTCTGTTAATGTTTGATTTTATGGGCTTCTAAGTCCCTTTGCTGAAAGATGGTCGATACTAAAACATACACCTGACTTCATATGACGTGATCCCTGCCCCAGGGGGCTTGCAGTCAGGTCCAAGTTTGGGGCCCACTAATGTGAGAAGCACTGGCACTTACAGACAAGTATCCACATTCTCAGAGATGGGAGTTTGCTTTAATGAGAGTTAGGTACTTAAATGCCCCTGAGCATTGTCCATAAGAACAGAGCCTCTTGCTCATCATTATTATTAGTGACAGCTTCCACTTTGCACAAAACTCCTTTAATTGTCATTTATATCCAATCCACAGACTGAATAGAACTTCAGTGAGAATTGCAAAAAACCCCTGAATAGTCGTCATAGCCATAATTCCACAGGATCTTTATTTAGCTACATCCAGAAGAAGCATATTCTAAATGTTATGAAGGCAGTCTTTTATAGTAATAAAGCTGTAAGTTTAAATAGTGTGAAATGATTTCTATTAAGATGAAATATACAGATACTCATTTTATTGTAGTCCCCTAAAATTTATATATGAAGTTTGATATAAATATTAATCCTTTTTTGTAGAACAACGAATTTAAAAAAATAACAGAACATTATTCTCTACTGGCTTTCTGTCTGTATTGTTTTTCTAAAACTAATTGATTTAACACATTAAATGAAAAGCAGTCTACCTTTATCTTGCTTCTGCTGTTAGTCCAGGATCTAGGGTTTCAGTTTACCCTTTCTTTAAAATAATCTGTAATTTTCTCCTTTTTTGATGGAATTTCCTGTGGAAAACACTAGAAAAATGAAACTGGATGTGTAATTCTATCACGGTAGTTTTATTAGACTGTATCTCTTCTTTTCACCTTAAGTAGTTCTCAAAATAAGAGGTTCTTAGGAATAAACTGAGTTACAAATATAATTGTTGGATGATTATTTAGTAAGTAACTGCATCAAAATCATTTAAGTGTACTGAAAATTTCTAAATAAATTTACAGAAGTTAATTTTGTTATTTACTATAAACAAGTATAAAGTCTCTGAATTTAGTCCAAGAATTAAAGCCTGTTCAATGTATCGTATAACATTATTAGTTTAGTTTAATCAAAACATGTACTTTTTTCAGGTTGAATAATGGAAGCCTGGCTCTTATTGTTGTACGAAACACTTCTCGGGCAGACTTTATAAAACATCTAAAAAGATATGCCAGTGTAAAAAATCAGGTACAGTTAATCCTTTTTTGTGATTATAGAAGAGCTGCTAATCATGAAGGTAGACATGCTACAGGAGTTAATATTGGTGTCCTTACAAGGAGACTTAGTTTCCTGTCAGAATACATTAGCTCCCTTTTATCTGATTTTTGAAAATCACCAATCAGACTAATACTGATTAACCTATTTCAGTCCATCTGTTGTGGTTTAGTTTATACATAGTTTATGCCAATAGTTTCACAAGAGTGTAAAGCTGAACCAAAATGCAGTGAAATTCTATACTTAAATTTGAGATTAAGGATACATATGAAGGACCAGATGCAACTCTCCAGAAAAATCAAGCATTTAATTCAACAACTTTGGCCATTCATTTTATGTTCTAATGGCCTCAATACCTCTAATAAATTATGTCATTTGATTTTAGTCAGTTACAACTTCCAAACCAGGGTTTGTTCGCACTTCAAAAACATTGTCAGTATTCCATCTTTATTTATCTACATCAATTAAATTGCATTTGAGAGAGAGCTTTTTCCCCTGCATTGATACTAATTTATCAGAAAGTCTACTGATCATCTTTTTACTTAACGTTATGTCCGGTTTAATCAGTGATAGTTACATTTAAGTTTCTTTCAGGTAATCATTAAAAATATAAAAATGTTGCAGGGATATTATTCCTTTCTTTTTTTTAGATCAGCTCCATTGGGAGTGGTGGCAGTGGCTTGAGGAAAAGCTCTGTACCTTCCTTATTTGGTCACTGTAGCACTCTTACGGAGGGAAAGCTTTACAGGTTTATACTTGCCTCTTTGGGTGAGTAAT